CTGGTCTTTTACACACATACACACACGCACATACACAAGTAATGTAGAAGACAATGGAATGATTTCTCTACAGTGCTAAAAGAAAAATTCCACCTTAAGTTCTATACCCAGTGAAACTATTCTTCCAAAATAGGGGAAAACATTTTTTTTTTTGCCCCAGACAAGCTAAAGCTGAGAAAATTTGTTGCCACTGACCTGCACTATAAAATATAAAAAACATTGAAGAAAAATGTCACAGATGAAAATTTGTATGCAGATAAAAGGAGTGAAGGGTACCAGAAGTAGTAAATAAGAGGGTAGAGATCAAAATTGTTTTTTCTAATTGAAATCTTTTTAAAAGATAAATGACTTTTTAAGACAAAAATATATTGTCATGTTTATGAAATATGTAAAAGTAAAATATATAAAAACAAGGATGGAAGGGTGATATGGAAGTATATTGTTGAAAGTTCTTATATAAGTAAAACAGTATAATATTATTTGAAGGAAGATTGTGATAAATTAAAGATGTATAAACCCTAGCATGACCACTAAAACAACTACAAACATATATAGCCAATAACCCAGTAGTGGAAACAAGATGGAAAACTAAAATATACTCAGTAAATCTAGAAGAATGATGGAAAAGAGAGAGAGAGAAAACCTCAGAAAATAAATTACAAGGGAAATGAGAATGTAACATGAATGGAATGAAAACGAGAACATAACATTGAAATTTGTGAAATGTAGCTATAGTAGTGTTCAGAGGGAAATTTCAAACATACTTGCTTATGTTTGAAAAAAAACAAGGTCTAAATCAATAATCTAGGCTTCCAATTTAAGCAGTTAGAAAAGGAAGAACATGTTAAATCCAAGTAAGTAGAGGAATGGAAACAATAAAGATAAAAATAGAAAACAATAAAATATTAAATGGGAAAACAATAGAAAAAAATCACTGGTACCAAAAGCTAGTTTAAAAAAATAGCAAAATTGACACATCTAGCTAGACTCATCAGGAAAGAGAAGACACAAGTTACCAATTACCAGGTACTGTAAACATTGAAGGAATAACTAGGTAATATTATGAACAACGTTGAGGCCATAAAAATTAATAAGTGAATGCATTTTGTTGTATGTAAATTATATCTTAGTAAGGGTGATTGAAAAAAAGAAAATGAGTAATTTTAGTTGCTATGATTGAGTTTCCATCTAGTCACAGCTTATGTCATTTAATCTCACAATAAAATGGTGATAACTTAGTGGTTTGGAGTATATACTCTACACTGAGACTACTGTCTTTGAATTATGGTTCAGCCAATTAGTAAGTATATGACTAGGTAAGTTATTTAACTACTGGAATGTAAACTGCACATGGACTGGGAATTTCTTTTTTGTTCACTTACATGATTTCTTGGCACATGGTAGGCAACCAGTAAATATTTGTTCTTAAACCCTAGTTGACAGATGAAATTGACAAAGAAGAGATTTACTGACTTTCAAAGATTACCAGGAAGGGAGAAACTCAGAATTTGACCTAGGTCTGCCAGATTCGAAAATTAGTGTCTTTCTCCTGCTGCTATGTCAGACAAATAAGAAACCTTAAAAAGAGTAAGAGAGCCTGATAGGTAACTATGCATGTGTCTTGGAACTTCCTTATAAGAAAAGGAAATTATACTTCTTTTGATTACCAAATTAATCCTTGGAACTGTTGCCTCTCTCAGTTTAAATAGAACTGCTTTTGCAGAATGGAAAGAAAGCAGGGGTCATTTTTCTTTTTCTAATACTTTCATTTGATGCTGCTGCTTAAACTGTACAGTTGAGATCTCAAATGCAAGCACTCAGTGTGCCAGGATTTTTGTAAGGCAAAACCTTACAAAAACAAGTTAACAGTTTTGATTCTTGAAGAGCATGCCATTTTGCTCTACGTTAGACGCCTCTAATATAGGCCATCAGAGCAGTATGAGATTAAATCCTATTCAAATTAATTTTAAAATGTGAAGCACATGCCCAGTATTTGGTAGGCATTGGGATAGGTAATGAAACTGAAGATATCAGACTAACTTTTATGTGCCAGATATCTTGCTCATTTTTATTCGATCTTCACAACTTTAAGTGCAAATCCCATTCTAACCAAATGGCGTAGAGTGTAATTGTGTAGAGTTACAGTAAATAATACATCTGGGATTTTATTTTAAGATTGTCAACCACAATCATAATGTGTTTGGCGTGTTTATGTTATTTTTTCTTCCTTCTAATCAGGTAACTCAATTGAAGTGTGAATTAACCAAGAATAAATCTAAAAACATAAGTATCCTCAACTGTCTTTCTCGAGCTTAGTTTCCTCGTGTTGCAAATTTTTTTTTTAAGTTTTATTGTAGAAAATTTCAAACATACAGAAGTGAGAGGCTAGTTCAACAAACTCTTATGTAGCCATCACTCAGCCCCAAAAAACATCAAGTGTGGTCAACACTGCTTCAGCTACGATATTTCTGCCTACTCCTTCACACTCCCTGGTAATAATAGCATTTCATCAGTAAGACTTTCAGTATGTATTTCTAAAAGACAGGGAAATAATTGTTTAAAAAATCAAAATTACAGGGCTTTCCTGGTGGCGCAGTGGTTGAGAGTCCGCCTGCCGATGCAGGGGACAGGGGTTCGTGCCCCGGTCCGGGAAGATCCCACATGCTGTGGAGCGCCTGGGCCCATGAGCCATGGCCGCTGAGCCTGCGCGTCCGGAGCCTGTGCTCCGCTACAGGAGAGGCCACAACAGTGAGGGGCCCGCGTACCAAAAAAAAAAAAAAAAAATTCATTGGAGTAGATGATACACATAAATATTAAAGTTAGAACTATAAAATGCTTAGAAGAAACTATTGGAGAAAATATTTGTGATCATTGTCTAGACAGTGATTTCTCAGAGCACAAAAAACACAAACCATGAAAGAAAAAAAAAAGCATGGCCTTCATCAAAATGAAAAAATTGCTTTTCATTTAAAAAGTTTATTTTTTCCAGCTTTATTGAGATATAATTGACATAAAACATATAAGTTTAATGTGTGCAATTTGGTGCATGTATATATTACAGAATGGTTACTACAGTAAAAGTTAACAGATCTATCACCTCACATAGTTATGATCCTGTGTGTGTGTTGAGAACTTTTAAGATCTACTCTTAAGCAACAAGGATTTACTGTAGAACAAAGGGAATTATACCCATTATCTTGTAAAAACCTATAATGGAATATAATCTGCAAAAGTACTGAATCACTATGCTGTACACCTGAAACTAACACTATATTGTAAATCAACTATACTTCCATTAATAAAAAGGAAAAAGAAGAAAAAAATTTAAAACAAAAAATATCTACTCATTTAGCAACTTCTAAATATACATTACAGTATTGTTAACTATAATTACCATGCTGTACATTACATTCCCAGAACTTATTCATCTTTTTTCACAATTTTATTGAGATATAATTGACATATAACATTGTATAAGTTTAAGGTGTACAATATAATGATTTGATGTATGTATATATTATGGAATGATTAGTACAATATGTTTAGTTAACATTCATCACCTCACATAGTTACATTTCTTTTCTTGTGATGAGAAAAGATCTATTCTCTTAGTAACTTTCAAATATATAATACAACATTGTTAACTATAGTCACCATGCTGTACATTACATCCTTAGAATTTATAGATCTTATAACTGGAAATTTGTGCTTTTTCACTGCCCCTCCCCCTGCCCCTGCAATCACCAATCTGTCCTATCTGTTCTCTGTTTCTATGACTTCAGTTTTCTTTTTAGATTACACATATAAGTGAGACACAATATTTGTCTTTGTCTGACTTGTTTCACTTAGCATAATGCCCTCAAGGGCCATCTCATTTTGTTCGTGCATTGTTTTCCTAATTTCCTTTAGGATATATTCTTGTACTTCACTAAACTTCTGTTAAGAGGATTATTCTGAATTCTTTGTGAGTTCATACTCTCCATTTCTTTAGGTTCAGTTATTGGAACTTTATTAGTTTCCTTTGGTTTTATCATGTTTACCTGATTCTTCATGATCCTGGATTCCTTGCGTTGGTATCTACATGTTTCCATTTCCTCTTCTAAGACTTTACAGGTTCACTTTGGCAGGGAAAGAGCTTGACCAGTCAGCTCAGTTTGGGGTACTGGACACGTCAGCTGGTAGAGCCCATGGTTTGCTATCAGGGTCTCTATGTGGGTGAGGTGCTCTGAGGTGTGTGTGTGGAGGGTGCCCCTGGCTGGGCTGTAGAGTCAGTTGGGCCTACTGGCTAGGCTGTGCATTCAAGCGGATTCCTGGTGGTGTCCGTGATTGGGCAGTGCTGTAGGCTGGGCTCTAAGTCTGCCCAGGGTATTGTTCAGGCTCCCTGGTTATGGAAGACCAGAGGCTATACTTGTTGGGAAGGGCTGCTGGCTTAGCTCTTTGCCAGAGTGGGGCTGTAGGATGGGCTCTGTGGTTGCCGGTGTTCTTGGCCATGCTTGCTGGATGGATGGGACTGGAGCCTATGCTCAACAGTTGGGCAGGGCTGCAAATTTGCTTTCCTGCCCTTGCGACACAGTAGAATGGGCTCCACTCCTTGTACAGTCTGTTGACTGGGCACCAAATCAGGTAGAACTGCCTGTTAACCTAAAAAAAGAGGTAAGCTGAGTCAAGCTCATATTACCAGAAATTGAATTTATTTGGGAATAGCAGAGGAATTGCAGTTCGGGAAACATACTGTAGCAAGCTACAGGCAAGTCTATTGAAGGTTTGGGGCAGGCTGTGTTAATGCAGAAGGGGTGTAAAGAGTAGGGGGAGTCCAGTTAGGGTTCAAGCCGCAAATTCATTGGCTTGAGTGACGATGGGGAGAGGTTCTCGGTGGATGTTCATTGGTTAGGAGATAAGTTCTAGATAGTTCTAGTCAGGCATTTAGGGGAAACCACTGTTTCATTTCTTGTTTCATTTTCCTGTGAGATTCTCCATTTCATATCTCCATTCCATTTTAGATTGAAATCCCTTTGCACATTGGATGAGCTCCCTGACCAGACGGGGCCACCAAGTTGGCTCTGCAGATGGGCAGAGCCACTGGCTGAGATTTCTACTCTGGTGCCACTGCAAGCAGGAATGTGGTCCACCAAGATCTGATTGATGTAAGTCCCGCCCTCCTTCCCCATCTTTATCTGATCCCCACGGCTGAATCCTGCAGATTACCCCAGTAATTCCTGGGAGGTGAGACCCGAATGGCCCTCCTGGGAAGTGTCCTGCAGTGCTGGGGGAGCTGGGTGTCTAACTTGGTCTCTCATTTTCCCCTGGAGAAACAGTAAGCTGACGGGGGCCCTCTCAGTTTGGCACTGTGCCAGCCGAGGAGCCGTGATGCGGTCAGAGTGTAGCCTCTCTTCTCACCTTTTTAGTGCTGTCCTTCTTGGCCTCTGTGCTCCAGGCGGGTGCTTCAGCCCCACCCCTGGGTTCTGGGATTTTCACAATGGTGTTTTTGTCTACGCATAATTGCTAGTTCTTCTTGTGGGAGGAACCAAAGTCAGGATCAATCGATAGCACCATCTTGATGATGTCACCAAAACTTGTTTTGAAAAGACACTGTCAAATAAAGGGAAAAATAATCCACAGGCCGAGGGAAAATATTTTTGAAACTGACAGCTGATAAAGAAATTGTATCCAGAATAGAGAAAAACTTTTACAACCCAGTAATAAGATAACTCAGTTTTTTAAAAAAATGGGCTAAGGTATGAATAGACGTTTAATCAAGGAACATATACAAATGGTAAATATGCACATGAGAAGAGGCTCAACATCATTAGGCATCAGGGAAGTACAGTGAAGGGCCACTGCCCACTTAGTGGAATGACTAAAATTAAAAAGCCTATAATAATAGCAAGAGTTCGTGAGGATGAGAAGCAACTGTAACGTTCATGCGTTGCTGTGGGAATGCAAAATGGTGCAGCCATTTTAGAAAACATTTCGGCAGTTTCTTATAAATTTAAATATCCACTTAACATCCTGTCTGGCAGTACTACTCCTACATATTTATCCAAGAGTAAAAACAAAACAAACCCCCAAAACCCCATATTCACACAATGATTTGTACCCAAATGTTAAGAGGAACATAATCTATAATGGCCATACGTAGAAACACTCCAAACATCCATCAATTGGTGAATGGATAAGCAAATTATGATATCCATCCAACGGAATGTTACTCAACAATAATGTGGGGCAGGACACCATGTACCAGTAATCACTGCCAGGGTAGGACTGCAACTACTTGGAGGACAGGAAAGATCATCACAATGCCAGCTCCCAGGAATAGAAGTCCAAACACTTTCCCCCACTATAACTTGGTATCAGAGTTGCCGGGGAAAACACAGCACAGTCAAACACTGGATGGAACAGTGCTTTCACTCACATAGAGAAGAGACAGCAAGATCAGCTCCAGTGTGTGTCCATCTCTAATGGCTAGCAGATGCCCCTGGCAGCTGACCAGGGAAATTGGCCTGTGTGCACCCCTCTTGTACTGCAGCAGCAGGACACTGACTGACCTCTTCTGTGTGGAGTCTGAAATACTGAAACCTGGGGCCATGCTTGAGAGCCATTGACGTACATGCTTAAGCAGAACAAAGGAACACTCATTCAGCATGAGACAGTGACAGCAGTCAGCCTGGCACAGGCTGTGTGGGCTCCTTATCTCTTGGTAAGGAGGTTTTCCAGGCCTAAGGCCCATTTTTGTGTGACCGAGCAGAGGTTGAAAGACTGCATGTGTGAGACTGACTTTCCTAACAAATAAAAAGGAACAGGTGAATATCAAAGCTCAGTAAAATAAGCCAAGACCCAAAGACTATATTCTGCGTAATTTCCATTATAGGGGATTGGGGTAGGAGATTGACTGTGAAGGAGCATGAGGGAACATTTTGAGGTGGTGAAAACATTCTATATCTGTATGTGATAGTTTTTTAAGATTATGTATTTTTCAAAATTCATCGAATGTACGCTTACACTATGGATACAGCAGTCAGTAATATAGGTAAGGGGCTTGCCCTCATGAAGCTTATATCCTCTCTGTACTTACCTATGCATCGCCTCAAACTAATAGAGAATTTTATTAATTTATGCTGATCATTGGCCAAAACCTACTTGTTAGGAGGCTTCTTTTAGGCTGTAGGACCCGTGTCTGTAGCAGCTGTTCCAAATCCCATGGTAGTGCCCGTGGTGGCTACCATAAGTGTATTAGTTTGCTGCGGCTGCCATAACAAAATACTGTAGGCTGGGCTGAAACAACAGAAATTGATTTTCTCACAGTTCTGTAGGCTAGAGCTCTAAGATCTAGGTGTTGTCAGGTTTGGTTTCTTCTGAGGCCTCTCTTCTCAGCTTGCAGATGGCTGCCTTCTCACTGTGTTTTCACATGATCTTTCCTCTGTGTGCATATACCTGTGGTGCCTCTGTGTGTGTCCACATTTTCTCTCATAAGGACACCAGTCGAGTTGAAGAAGTCCCATCCATATGACCTCATTTTAACCTAATTACGCCGTTAAAGGTCTTATCTCCAAATGCAGTCTCATCCTTGGGGGTTAGGGGTTCCATGTAAAGATCTTGGAAGAACACAATGTAGCCCACAACACATGGTGTCATGCTTTTCCAGGCACCCCTGCCATGCATCTGCTGAGCATCCTAAGCACTACTTGTTAAGTTCTTGAGAAATGAACCACAAGGTGATTTGGGGAAAAAGTCTCATGTACTTTACATCATTTAGAATGTTGCAAGGACAATAAACAGGGATTACAAAGAAGCACCAGTCTCCAAAGCACCAGGCACCAAAACCCAACCTGAGGAGTCCCCTTTTATAGGTCTCATGGGCCCCCTCCTGGGGATTCCACATATTTTCCTTTGAGCTTTCTTCAAGCAGGGGATATACACAGCAGGTAACCTCTGGGGGTGTATCCTGATTTTCACCTGTTATTCCTTTTTCTATAAGTAACTTTTAGTATCTTAAAAGCGTGGCTTTTGAATAGCACTAAAAGGAATGTGGGCCCCCCTATATCTTGAGTGTCTAGCTCCATATCCGTCCAATTATGGTTCCTGGAGGTATCTTCTCTTCGAATTGGCTGTAAGCTTCTTAAGGGCAGTGGTTACTCCTGTTATGTTTCTTGGTACCTGTTGTAGTAGTACCAAGCTTAGTACCATGACTGTAGTAGAGACTAAATAACTATCTGTTTAATAGATATTTTACAGATGAAGTTGAGAGACTCTCAAAGGCATGAAATATGTTTCTCAGCATCCCCCTTACTACATGGTCCTCAGTGAGAGTTTGAGGTGGAAGAGAAGGAGAAGTACCAGAGGCAGTTGAGGGTAGATATGAAGGCAGACAGAGGTTCCAGCTGCTTCTAGATGAGCTTGAGAATTATCACATTGGTCGTGCATACTGTGTGCGGGCTTCTCATTGAGGTGGCTTCTCTTGTTGCAGAGCACAGGCTCTAGGTGCATGGGCTTCAGTAGTTGTGGCACGTGGGCTCAGTAGTTGTGGCTCGTGGGCTGTAGAGCGCAGGCTCGGTAGTTGTGGCACACGGGCTTAGTTGCTCTGCGGCATGTGGGATCTTCCCAGACCAGGGCTCGAACCCTTGTCCCCTGCATTGACAGGTGGATTCCAGACCAGGGCTCGAACCCTTGTCCCCTGCATTGACAGGCAGATTCTTAACCACTAAGCCACCAGTGAAGTCCCCAAAGTGAACTCTTGAGACTCACCTGTTGACTGTGAGCAGACTGGGTGAGTTTGTGTGAGGAGCTTCCCAGAGGCTCACCAGATTGTTAGCAGCTTTTGGTTCATCTCTTGAAAACCATCCACATTAGTACTTCAGGCTGGGGTAGTTGGTGGCAATTTTCCTGACTTCTCTCCCAAGTCTTCCAACTTTGGTAAAGCTCTAATTCTCGTGCAGACCTGTCCTATCTGGAATACGAGGAGGGGCTTCGGCTTTCCCCTTTGAAGTCCGGTTGGTACACAAGACCACTCAACTGAGCAGAATTATAAACTGCTCCAGTCAGAGAACGATAGAATTAGAAGAAAACTTAGAGATCTCTAAGTACATTTCTTATTTTACAAATGAGGAAACAGGGCTCAAGTAATGTAGTGATATGTAAGAGAGAAGTAGAATTGTACTAAGAATATGATTTCAATCCAATGCTTTTCTATTTTTATCATACTATATTTGCCTTTAGAAATGCATAAAAATAAAGAGGGATTTTTAAAATTTAGGCAATTACTTAAGCATTTATTTATTTTATGAATGTGAGATATTCTTTCTTTATAGATATCTCTATCTTTGTCTATCTACCTATCTATCTATCTACCTACTTACCTACCTATTGGGAGAGAGATCAGCGAGAGCACCAGAAAGCATTTGTTGGAATCCAAGGTTGAAGTATGTCTGTGAAGAGAAGATTGTTCAAGTTTCTTAGGACAATTTAGAGAAGAAGCAGCTAAATAGAGAAGCAGGGCAGCCTGGAAATGAAAGGGCCATATTAAATAATCTTCCAAAGCTCAGGATAGATCAAAATAATAATGAAAAAGAATATGGAATAAAGTTTAATTAACTCAGATACCTTATGATGATGAAAGTGAGGAAATTACCAGGATGTCCTATGTTGGGGGACTGATTAAATAAGTAACAGTACATGTTACGATAGGATTTTGTACATCTATTAAAATGAGCTTAATAATGATTTAAAAATAATATTAGAAAATATTATTGACATAGTGATGACTGGAACACAAAAAGGATTCAGAATTATCAATAAACTGTCACCTTGACTCTATTTGATATGTGCAAAGGACAAAGGAAATTTGCCAAAATTATACTAGTCTCTGCTTGGGGAGTGGGATTGTAGGAAAACATTTTTTTGCATTTATTTTCTCTTGCCTAAACTTTCCAAATTTTCTACAATGACCATATTATGTTTATCATCAGAATTAAAATTAGAGGGGAAGAAACTCATGGTTTCAAGAAGTAAAAAATTAATAGAATAGTTAATCAAGGACAAGGTGAAGTTGTTTTCCTGAAGAAAATATCAGCTACATCTTTTTCTCTTCGTGAACTGTTATCATAGTAGAATATTTGCAGTAAAGGCCTAATGCCTGAATGGCTGG